AGCATTATGCTAAACAAACTAATAATAGTAGTAATGTATAGAAAGCTTCTGTGATGAGCACTGAAGAAAAGAGTACTTTCCTACAAGATTAGATATCTCAAACAAGTATTTGCAAATAATGCAGTGTACATTATTGGAATATGTAGATACAAACATATATTCTGCAATATAACTGTATTTTATTTTCCTAATCTCAGTTTTATGGTAAATATTAACACTTATTTAGGTTGAAACCCATAAAATTCATACTTACAGAGTATATATATAGATATGATAAATGTGTAATGTACAAATAAAATCATAACAGCAATTCTGTAAGTTTATGAAGAATTAAAATTTCATGTACAAGATAAACACCATGGTTTTCAACCAAACTTGTGAGAGAATACTACTCTTCTTTCTAGTGTGCTACCTTCAGTGAAAATTCTGTCAGGTCTGTAACTAAATGAAAATTACTTTGAAAATATATTGAGTAACAATAATAATTCTAAAAGACCGTTCTTTTTAACTGCAAAACTTTTAAGGGAAGCATTATGAAAATATTTGTGGCACTAGCGAAAGCATCAGTCTGGAGCAATAGAGCCGTTTGACAGCAGATGACAGGGAGCTCCCAGCCAGACCAACGCCGCAGCAGAGCAGATGCTGCTCTCACTTGCCTGACCCTGGATCCCGTCCCACCCCTGCAGCAGAGCAATTACACTGCAGCTCGGGGTGTTAGCAGGCCTTTGAAGGGAGCAGCTGGTTCAACGAATGTTTTCTCTGCTCATTAATAACAGGAACAAGAGAAGCAACCCACAGAACAGCACATGGCCTCGGCAACAAATAATGACCATTACCTCCACGTAGGGATGAAGGTGCCAGAAAACATCATATGCTTTGTGGTTTTATACATGGCCTATTCCCCACAAACAGAATCGTTACTGCTGGGAAAACTTAGATATCTATGAAAAGAACAGTACAAAATAGTCCAGCAAAATTCAGTATATAACAGTTAAACAGGCTTCCTTCTTTGTCTCTGTTTTGTTGTTTTTTTTAGATGGAAAAACCTTTTCGTAATCAATCCCATGTGAAAAGTTGTTGTAAAGTGTTTATTCTAATTTATTACACACATACATGTGCCCTTAGTAAGGGAGCCAAAGTGCCCACAAATTTCTATTAAATTACTTGGTCCCAATAACCCTCAGTTTGCTGTTCCCAGCTGGAAAGAGTGTTCCTCTTAATAACCAATTCAATAAACTGCTGAAAAATGCTTTGTATAATATAGTATTGCCATAGATCTGCTGTTTTTCTCTGTCATTATATATTGCATTCAATCAATTTACAAATGTTGCTGTGTTCCTTTTGTGCTAGTTCTTATGGCATCCTGAACACAAATCTAAAGATCAATACCTTGTCTACTGAAAAAAATGGACTTAACTAATGAATAATCTTATTTATAATAAAAAGTCCTAGTCCTCAAATGGATTTTGCTAATGTTGAAATTCATTTTTCATATTTAACACCAGATGAAAACAAGTACCCTGCACAACACCATGAGAAAGGCAGTGATAAAAACCAGTTCATAGTTATTGAAGATGTGAGCAAAATCATGTAAAGCTGTGGTGAAGGGCTAAGAAAACATCAATAAAATGGTAGGTCATTCTCCAGGTATTGTTACCGTATTAAAGCACAAAAAGTCCATGTCAAAGTGCAGATGGAATTTGTTTCAAACAGCATCACAGTTCTGTTCTATGGAACTATGGAAGCAGCAAGGCTCTGAATGAAGTAATTCAAGCAAGAAGCCAAGGAGAAGCTGAGCTCATGCTGTTTGCATGAGCTGATTCAGTTCATCTTGTGCCTTTTGTGTGACAGAAACAATGCATTTGCTGACTATAGACACATCCCTGCACTGCTCCAGCTATTGAATAGCTGCCTCCTCCAAAACAACCACAGAGATGTTCAAGGGAGCCACAAAGTGACTGCTTTTCACAACCACCCTCTGTAAGGCAGCAAGCTGACAGAACAGAGAGGAAACGAGGACACTTGTAAAAAAGGAATGGATACCTGTATAAGGGTATCCCAGCCAGCTTCCAGAATACCCAGCTACCTCCTCCTACTCCCAAATTTACAGCTCAGTTGTGCACTGAACACAGTATTTGTGTTCCCACTCAGACTCTTGGCTCTGCAACAATGCCAGAAAATCATCATAAAAGTACACCCCAAAACCCAGAATCTCATTAATCAACACTGTCCCCAGTGCCACATGCCTTCTGCTCTGATATCAGACAAGGAGAAGGCAAGATCAGAGTAAATGCAGACCCCTCACTATTACAGGTGTTAAGTGACAATGTCTCCAGACAGCCTCTGGTCCGACAGCTCTGAGTCTTTGCCTGCTGGGTGACACAAAGGGACTGGATCTCCTGAGGGGAGCAGGCACGAATCCTGCACGCTGATCACCCACAGCTCTCCTCTCTCTCCTTGTGCCAGAAGAGGTCAACGTTCCCCATTGGCCCACAAATGTGCACATTTGGGCTTGCACACTCAAGGTTCCAGTTTAATGTTGGATAGCTCTCACCCAATAATAAGCACCCAGCATATTCCTATCCAAGAATGTGCAGTAGTCACTCAAAGGGATCCCAATAGAAACAGGTTCCTGAGCCTGTGAACTCAGTGCACCCCTTGGGAAGGAGCCTAATGCTGTGAAAAATGAGGCACCTCTGTCCAGGAACAGGAGAACCATTTCCTTGACATAAATACTGTATTCTTACTCTACGTAGTTTTGGACTGTAAGCACAATTTGCCTTTCAAATGCCAAGCTAAATTCACAGGATTGGCAGCTCAAAATAAACAAAACAAAACTTTGCAATGTGTTAAGTGAACAAGCCTGTTCAAGTCACACTGAACTCTACAAGGCCATTGTGACAAACTTTTTACCAAATAATAGTTTTATTTTAAAACTATAACAGCAAATTCAGAATTCCAACCCTATGTTCCATTTCAAGATGGAATTTCAACCTTACTAGTTAATTAAAGCCACCACCTGGAGTGATCTGGCTTTCAAACTGATTTCCTTTGTCTCTCTAATTCACATATATTAATATTTTATTTTCTACTGAGAAAAAAATGTCACACATGTACCAAGACAAGGCAGATAAAATTATTGCAATAAAACAAAGAAAATACACTTCTTACTGCCAGGTCTTAAGATGAATGCTGCATTATACAGACACTTTAAAAGGCTTAAAACTGCAAATTGCTCTATTTTACATACTGTATTCTAGCCTTTACATCAAGATCTCTCCTAATTTCGTCTTATTGTAATGAGAAAGGAAAAGGGTTGGGTTTTTATTACCTGAACATTTATCCAATGGAGAAACAAAGACTACATTATATATTACAACACAAGCTATTAAAACTATGTGACACTATAAAATACACTGCAATACTCATTATGGGATAACAAAGCTAAAGCCTGAGCAAATAAACGTATCTGCCAAAAGTCAGCAATAATTATACAACAAGAGTTTATAATCTTTAATTATTTAAGGAGAAGAGAAGCTTGTAATAATTAAGTTTTATAGGCTCTTTAACTTGTCATTACTAGGTGCTCACAAAACTTAAAAACAAGAATGCTTCATCTGAAATACTCTATTTTTAACAACAGATGCAATTGTTCATGTAACTAATTAATTTAAAAAAAATAGCCAAATATTGTTTTTAAATCCTGCATTCACAGAACAGGTAACAGTTTATTTACTCTCTGATCCACACAATGCATACAGCAACTGCTCAAGCACTTAGAGGCCTTGCATCACACAGTGACTGATGTGACACTGTCTTGATATAGCTTTGAAAATGGTTTTTGATATGACAAATCTGTAAATCACCATGTACTTACATCAGGAATTTCAGAAACTTGAAGATCAGAAAACCTGTTAATTTAATTAATTAAAATACATTGGTGAAACAATAACACCTTTAAAGTTTCTATGAAGTTTGTGCATATTTGCATGATCTGACTTCTGGTACACACAAACACCATTCAAAATAGATGGAGAGAAAAATTCAATATTGAACAATTATAATCTACAGAAGTGATGGGAGGAAAGAAAGGTTCCATATTTCAGAGGAAATAAGCTTCTTGGGTTTAAAAATATATATTAAAATTCACTTGATTTTAAGTTATGAAAGAAAAAACATAAAACTACAAAACCGGCAAGAAAATTTTCAGTAAACTCCATACATCTTCCTTTTTTTCCCAAACACAGTCATTCTTTGCCTGAGCACCTACTAAAATTTTATCATGAACCTCTATAGAAGAAGTGATCAGTCTTGATTATTTCTGAAAAATTGCACTTTCAGCCACTAAAATCAGCACAAGTTACAGAGTAACAGAATTTTGACTGGAAAATAACACACTACACTACAAATAGGTACATTGAGCATCTTGTATAATCAAGTTATAATACAGTTTCAAACTCAAGAATTTTACTTACACTGTGAGGCTTCATATTTTCATCATAAAATGTGTGCACTATACAGATGGTTTATTTAATCCATTCCCACCTAAATTAATCAAAGCAATCTGTCCCCCCCAAAAAAAACTCTTTGAAGACTTCATATGGAATTCTACTGGTATTTGACAAATGGTATACATTTAGCCAGGAAAAGTTGAAAATCTTCCATAAAGAAGTTACCACATCTAAAAATAAGTGACATTATTAAAAGGGAAGCGGGACATGTTATTTAGCCTAATACGGAATTTAAACAGTACCACCTCCAATAGACTTTTTAATGCTTTTAGTAGCACCTGGTTGTTTGTATATCTTCTGTGGTGAAAAGGTCAATAGAAATTCACCTCGAAGGTCACAGTTGCTAAGCAACAGTTTTCAGCAGTTCTGCAACACCGATCAAGCATCTTCTGATCAAGCATCACTGCCTGGATTTGGAATAAACCCGTGTCGCGTCCTACCTGGCCTTCCAAGCACGTCCTGCTTTTCCCAGGAGCACGGAAAGGATACGTCCAGGCACCACCGGCCTGCGGTTCACCAGGGCAAAGCACAGCTCCGTCCTCAGGAACACCACCGAGGGCTTGATGAGGTGCTGCCCGAATCTCAGCATGCTCAGGGTTGATCTTCAGGGTCTGAAAGAGACAATAGTTAAGATAATTAAGGGACTGACTCCGCCTTTCCAAGCAACAGGAATAAAACAAGCAGACTGCCTATGCAGCTTCTAGCAGAAAGCACCTCCTGGGCTCATCAAAGCATTGAATGTCTTGGAATGGTTGTTACATCTCCCTTAAAATGATCACATCTTTGAAGGAGTGGTGAAAAAGGCTTCTTTCCAAAGCAAAAAATTTACATATAATTTCTTAAACTCTTCTCTCATCATCTTCACAGGGCTACAAAATTCTAGGGAAGGCAATTTCTCCCTCCCATTTTTATTTGTCCCGCATTGTAAACATTTGGGTCATACGTTCTTCAAAAAACTCAAATTGGATTTTACATTCTTTTCTGCCACAATGCAAATCAGTGCACACAGGACTGTGAAATAAAGCCACACTTTCCTAATCTCTCCATGAAATACTTCAACTGAAGAAATGCTGGCAAATTGAAGAAAGTTTATTTAGCCATTTCCTATCCACACTTTATAGCTTGAACAACTGGAATGTGAAGAAAATTACTGCCACATTTTTGCATATAGAAAGTCCAAGAATTCCACTTTCATTCACTAAAATTTTCTCTCTTCGTGACAAGAATGAAAATCCCCCTTAAATAGCTACGGCACAGTCCCAACTGTGTCTATTTTAGGTCTTTAAGCCCTAGAGTATTTAAAGTATTTAATTCAATCAGAAATAGCCAAGGTACCGCAGGGTGAAAAATTAAGAAATGACAAATTTCATGTGACAATACTTCAGACACATCGGAAGCTTTATACTCACATTACCCAGCCAGAACCAAGTGACTTAATCAGGAAATTCAGTTTCATATGTTGTCTGAGACAGGGAAATCTACTGCTACACTCATGGAGGGTCTTCTGTTGCAGTTCTTTTCTTGCAAGATTACTGTGTACAGTAAAGCCTGAACTTGATTCTTAATCTAAGAGATTTATCCTGATTTATCATCCCACTTGTGTTGCAGCATATATCACAGTTGAGACACCACAACACACAGAGTATCACCACACAATTTCAGAAAGCTTTAAGCATTCCCCCAAACAGAGTAACATCATACCTCATCAGAAGGCTTCAGGTTCTGCCCATACAGAGCAGCACCACACCACCTGAGAAGGCTGCAAGCCTCTGCCCTTCTGGTTCTTCAGCCCAACCTTTTATCCCCTCACGTTGATGCACGGCACCTGTGTGCCCTCTGCTCCCTTTGGGATTGCTCAGTGCCCCCGGGCACTCCCTGGCTCATCGCTGTCAATGCTGCTCACCTGCTTCCCACAGCTGAGCCCATGGGGATGAGGCTGGGCCCAGCCCCACCCCAATCACCACAAACTGTGCCTACACACTTGTACCTGCTCCCATAAAAGTACACATGACTACCCCCTCTAAGTGCACACACTTTGAAAATGTCCTTGAGAAATATTTGTTCTTCTAAAGGAACTTCTGGCTTTGTAGCGGTCTGATTCCAAAGAAGAACTTAAGTTCTTAAAAACTTAAATTAAGCATCTAATCAGGGTTTGCACCAGAAAAACATGTATAAATCTTAAGATTTAGATAAGATACAGTATAAGACACAGCAACAAATAAGATTACTACATTTCCATGTAATAAACATTTTCTAAGCAGGCACCATGTCTTGTTTTATTTTTGAAAATCACAGATGAAAGAAAATGCTTGAGCAGACCACAGAAAAGTGGAGATTTTAACTATGCCTGTTTCAAAGATTTGAAAATGTTTTACATTCCTTTCCACACAAAGACAAGAGAAGATTAAGTGTCTGAGATGTGTCCCTTAGCATATATTAAACTTGAAAGTTGACAACATACAAAAATCAAGTCTCTTTAGCTACTAGAAAAACTACTTAGCAGAGAAAACACCTGCTATCATGTGCTGATGCTTGAAAAAATAACTATTAGGACCTTCAATCAATCTGCCTCATTTCTCTTAAGCAGTCCATCAGCAACTTCCCATGGGGATTTTTCATTCAGATTAAAACATGCAAGAATGTTTTTACACAATTCAGTAAATAGATATGGTTCTCTTTGTGATCAAGGAAATGCTTCTGACAAAGGAAAGACATTCCAGAGCAAGGACTACCCTCTGGTGAGGAAATGGCAAGCCTGTGTCTCCAGAAGCTGAAAAATCAAATGTAGCACCTGCCCATGCACCTGGAAATGCTATGCACAAAAATCAAAGTACTACTGATGACTTCTTGTTGTGTCTTCCAGGACACTGATAAATAAAGGTACTGTCCAGAGGCACGGGACAGACTTAAGCACAGAAGCAAGGCTCCAAAATCACAAATGTTAAATGTAAAATATGATGATTTGAAATTTGACTTAAGGTGGGGGGAGAACCTGAGATTTGGTAATCAGCTGGAGGAGTCCTCTGGCTGATTGCTGCCATAAGCAAAAAACAGCAAAGAGTAGCAAAGTAACATTGGTGACATTAGGTTGCTGTGTTTTCATCATGAATCTACCACATGATATTTACTTACTTTACTACCTGTCTTATTTTTAAAATACCTAGAAAAATCAGTAAAGTGAAAGCACTAATATCGTATCTCTCCTTGCAATAACTTGAAGAATCACATTACAGCCTAAGTGGGTTGATCCAGAATTATCAGAAAATTAAAAAATCTCATGCATAGAATTAAAGCATATATTAAAACCCTTTCTATTTGTTTACTGTGCAAAAATATATCTGAATAATGTAGTTCTATCTCTTGATTCAGACTAAATAAATGTGTTTCATACTGTAGACTTCCCAGTGTTACTCTCTCCAATTCTGCAAAGGGACTATGAGAGACTTTTTCTTAAACAATTATTCACAATCTATTATATATTACTTCAGCTGCCTTCTGCCCTAGTGATCCTCTGTGTTTTTCTGCTCAGTACAATCATCTGTGCTAAGAACCAACACAAATGCTAAAAAATGCATTAGGGAAATAAGTAATGGGTACAAGTGAAATATCCATGACTGTGCAGCAACGCACTACAGCAAGGCTGGAAAATTCCAGAGTGCTGCCAGGCAGGAAACTGCTATTGGCAGAGCAAGTTTTTAGTAATCTGAACTCTACCATTTATTTCTTGCATGGTTGTAAAGAAGCAGGACTCAAAAGAGCACAGGTGTGTGCACACAGGTGATGAGATGTAGTGTGTGCACAAGGCTTCCCAATTCCCAGACTGGAATAAGCACACTAAGTCTGTTCCTCCAGGGATTTCCATTTTTCACATAAAGAGAAGGTCAGTGCCAGACAAACTAGAAACCATACATAATTGGTTAAAGATGTTTCCTCTTTAATGATGGTAGCCTTTCTAATCCCCAGTAATAAGGAGGACAATTACACAGTAATGTTAGAAAATGAAAGAAATCCATTTCTGATTAAATTTCAGCCCAGTTTAACACAGTTTCTATTCTGACTATTCAGATGAAAAGTGTATTTACTCTTCTTCATATTGCAGATATACATTACATTGCCTATTTCATCTGCCTCATTTTCCTAATTAAATTCTATTCAAGCTGTGTTACTGCAGTTGTACGTGGGAATACAGTATTAAAGGCTAACACAGCAAGGAGACTAATTTTACAGCCACAACACACCTCAAATCTGTATAATCCATACTAGGAAAATATTTTAAAAAAAAAAAATACACTGGAAATCTACATTATACCCTGAAAAAAAAAGTGTTAAAATTAAAAAAAATCTTGAGATACACTGATATGTTTTCAAATATTTTTATAGTTTTGTAAAATTTCCACAGGTGATGCCATGATGTTTTTTGCCTTTTCTGTTATATACCTTTCATGTATTCTCAGTGTCTTTAGCATATATATTTGTAATTCCTTAAGTCTGATAACTTAGCATAGTCCTGGTATTCTGTTAGGCCAAGAGACCAAAAATCCTAAAGGCCTCACAACTGGGGCCAAAAAGCCTTATGCTAACTTGAGAAACCAAGGTCCCCTCTAGAATACATCCTGCAAACTAAAATTAAGCCCATCTAAAAGGGAATACATTGGGATAGGAATATTTCATGCTATTCATTCAAGCCTCTCATTGGGGCATCTTTGTTGAATATGCTAATTTACAAAGTCTATAAAATTGTAAGCACAATCTACCCTGAATGTGCATTTTGGTGCATTCTACCTTGGCCAAATGTTGCACCATAAGGATCCTTATTAAACACCAAAATAAAAGCCTTTTATCCCTTAACCGTGCCTGGCTCTTAATTTTAGATCCAAGAAAAAGGCATCATAGGCACATGGCATTTCTCCAGTCTGTACAAGAACTACTCCTATATTAAATGCATTTTTGAGAGGAAATCTATACACAACTCAGTTTTCCAGATTTATTCAGTTTCGGGGTTAGGGGCTTTGGTTTGTGCTTCAATTTTTGAACAGCATAATCTGTAGAATCATTTATGTCAAGTACACAGCAAGTCCTCTGAACAGAAAACAAATTCTCTTCTGGGCAGAAGTTAAGTTCACCTAAAAAAAGGACATCAAGATGGGTGTCTGCTTGTTACATGCCATTGCTAAAATCAGAGACCTGGAAAAGTGCTGGAACTTTGCTGACTACACGGAGTGATGGCAGCAGTTCTTCAATGTTCTCTTCCTGGTGCCACAGACCTCCCGATTGGATGCTTAATTGAGATGGTGTTGGTACTCCAAAATGCCTCTTTATTTTTTTTAATACAATTACTTCTCCTTAGAACAAGGTGTTGAGAGCAGCACCTGCTGGGAACCAAGCTCGAGGCTTTTGCTGAGAATCCCCTGAGCACTGTTTTAGGAAATCTGCACATCTGGTTGTAAAGGGAGAAGATGAGAATGCAAAATGGGCTGCTAACTTCAAATGTGTGTATTAAAGGAAACCAATTACAATACCATTATCTCTCAGTGCTAATAGGAAGGAATGGTTTAGAAAAAATCCCAGGAGTATTTTTAAATTTTAAAGTTTATTTTACCATATTAGCATC